AAGTAGTTCCCACATTTAATAATGCATAGAAACCTTTTAACATGAATGATCCTTTCTCCACCACAAAATCGCCATCTCTTCCGCCCCCAAAACTGAATATGTAGAAAGAATCCATAGCAAAAAGAATTTAGCCTTCTCAGAGATGTATCATCTTCAATTTAATACTCTACATAAAAATAGACCGTGGTTTTTTAGAATGAAAGCATTAGGATTTTAAATGAGCTATGGCATAATTAATTAATGTCATGAACAGAAAAATGGCCCCTCAGTTTCATTCAACACATACCATCATGTTTCTTAATCAGACTTCTTGTAAATAGCAAGCATATGACTAAAAATGCCACGCCAGCTGCCCCACCTAATATTATAACCACTACCTTCTCTGTATTTTGCCTTGTTATTCCCACCAATCTGCAAGCTTCTCCTACACAATTCCCCAAGATGCTTAATTATTTACCATCCTTTGTTTTGTAGGTGTATGCTCGGTACATCACATTAAATTAAGATGTCCAACCTTCAAACCTTTCCCATAATTCAATTTCAAACTCACCTAAAATCACCCCATCTTTTGCATCACAAGTAGCTACAAAAATGGTGGGCCTTAATTAAGACTGATCAACTAAGAAATTCAATATTTTTTCCCAACACCCTTTATGTCTCAATACGGAAGATTTATGTGAGGATTGAACAAGAGGGATGGCTAGCTAGCTTTCATGTTCATATTAATTGTATTGAAGAGTATCCATAAATTTAAATCATCGTGCGTGGTTTGAAGAGAGGGATGCCACTTGGTGAATAATAATCTGCATATGATTCTAAACCTCAACATTCCATAAATAGAACCTGGCCAGTTTCAACCATAAAGTATTGCGGAAATAACAAATTTATATTAATTAAACACTTTATGTGTGGTTTTCAATTTGCTAAAACTCCATTTCCTGAAAGTTAATTTGGCAAAAATTAATTTAATAAAAGTCAGTTGTTGTAATGAAATTTGTGTTTGGATACATTTTGTCAAAAGTCAGTTTGGTAAATTGGTTGTTTCGATTATGACAGTGAAATATACTTTTGAATGTACAATTACTAAAAAAGACATTGATTTAGGATAATTTATAATTTTTATTATATAAATGTAATATATTTGAAATATTTAAGAATGTGATAAAGATTTTAAATAAAATAAAATTTGATCTATAATGCTAAAAAATTAGTCTCTAATTATTTGTATTGTTTTAATTTGTAATTTTAAAAAATATGATAGAGATTTATAATTTTTATTATACATTAGTGTTAAAAATTAACATGATTAATTATTCAATTTATAATGTTAAAAACTTGATATCTGATTATTATTATTTAAATGATAATTATATTTTTAATGAATTAATTATTTTTTAAATAAAAGAATAAGCGGGTAAAATAACATCCACATTTTAAACTCACATTTGAAATATAACAAAAAGTAGAGTCATTTCAAAGCTATTTCAACTCACTTTTTGAAAGTCATTTTACTCCCTAAAAAATCACCTAAACAACTTTTAACATCCCAAAAGTTCAAAAGTCCATCCCAAATGTTTAATAAGAGAAAATCAAACGCACCCTAACTTTGTTTAGCACTCAATAGCCCACATTACAATATCTAACAACTCAAATTTCTTCCTAAAATGCCAAGGGTTTATCCAAAATTTTAGCCTTAACCTCACAACCTTGTAAAATCCTCAAAACTAGGTTTACTAGTATAAAATAACTCTCATTAATTCTATTAGAACCTATGGATTAGATTCATAGCCTCCAAGGTTCGAAATCACATCCCCTAGCCATAAAACTCATTTCTGGAACGTGTAAAAGGAAGGAGAGGTGTTTGTCATCAAGTGTTACTACAAGCATACTGATTATCACAAGTGCAAAATATTCTAGAGATATTGTTCCCATAAAGATTTAGACAAATGAGGGTTAAAAATTCACCACTAAGCTTTAAGTTAGGTTGAACAAAATCAAGTCTAGTATTTGTGTGAAAGTATAAAAATTAGATTAAAAAGGTATTTTAAAATAAGTAAATTAGTTAAAATTATGAATTCAAAATAATTTATAATGAAAATAAATGCTAGTATAAGATTCTAATTTATTTGAAAAAGCTTTCTCAAGTCAAAATTACATATATTTTGGAACATTAAAATTTTACAATCTCTTGAAAATGATTGGTAAAAATAAGTTTTAAGCACCAATCATAATATGCTTGTGAAGGGTTGATAAAATATCTTTATTTTACCAAAAAAACCATCCATTTATCTTTGTAAATTTCAAGTTTAATACTATTTTATTTAAGTTAGCTCTCTCAAGCACAACTTACATAAACAAAATCCAAATGGTGGCCAAATACTTTGAAATATTAAGCATAGGATAAAATAAACACATATATCTTATTAACTATCAAAAGAGAGGAATAATTAAGTCTTAATCCATACAAAGGTTTGAAATAATCCTAAAACAAGTAAACTAGCTTCTCATGTTCAAAAAAAGAACAACAAACAACAAATTGTTCGGCACTCATATTGGAAACACAAAGATAGAAAGGAAAGGAAGTAGAAAAACAAAAGAAAATCCACTTGAATCTCTTCAAATCTTCATTTCTTAGCCAAATCCCCTTTAAAAACCTAAAAATCTAGTAGAGCTTACCTTCAAGAACTTTTGAAAATCGTGTCTTCCTTACTGGAGGCGTGGAAATGAGCATATGCAACCCTAATTTGCATTTTGCAACTCAAAACGCTCAGCAGCATTTAAGCCAAGCATCGTGACGTGATGTCATTACGCTGTGGTGCATGTGCAAAATTGTGAAGTGCGCCGTAGCATTTTGTCATTGTGCTACAATGCATGTACAATTCTTGAACACCCCTTCTTTATGCCACATGTTGTAGCATACTGTGCATGCGCTGTGGCACATGGCATAAAGATCTTAGTCTTCATTTATGGGTAACTTTTGGCTACTTTATGTTCCCAAACATGCCTTCAAGCATCACTTAGCTCTTGAATGTCATGATTACCCATTAGACATTACCTGAAACAATAGATACAATTATGAGATCTTTCAAAGTTTAAATCAAGGCAATATTCTTTACAAAAGTTGCCAAAAATTTGATCATCAAAGCTAAATTCAACCAAAGCCCATTTTCCTATATTTGAACCCAAAATAATCACAATTAGGCCAAATAGTAAATGAAAATATAGGAAAATGTGTTGAATTGGCATCAATTTCAATAGGTTATCAAGAAGGAGTGAGGAAGACTCACCAAGATGAACTCAAACTTAAATCTCCTCCAAAATGCCAAAGGACACATGTCTTATCAGCCCAAAAGCACTCTCTCGTTGCCCCTTCTCTACTTTATTCTCCCTTTCTTCTCTTTCTGTAGATCGCGAATCATAAACTAATGATTTAAAATTTTCAACCATCTGCCAAGGAATGGGCCAGTCCAAATTACTTCTTAAATTTGAGCCTATGTGGCCCAAATCACTTTCAGGTCTTGATTTAAAGGCTGCATCTAAAACCTTGCGATCACTAGCCATTATTAAATTAATTAACACTTAATTTTGCTTAAATACTCTTAGTTAACTAACTCAAGCTTGGAATTAAAAATTTAAGATGTTATAGAGGCGAGTGTGGTGGTAGTGTCAACATCTTTAGGTCAGAAATTGAGGAGGTCATGGATGGATTTGTTAGGGGGACTATAAAGATGAAGGAAGGCTAAGGAAGAGGGGAAGTAGGAAAGATTGGAGAGAGAGAAGGGATTTAAGGACATACTTGGGAGGGGACGTAAGGAAAACAAAGGAAAGAAGATGGAGGTTGTTGACGTGAGCTTAGGAGGATAGAAGTTGAAGCCTTTTGGGAAATGATGGAAATGGCGAAGGAGTGATTGAGAGAGTGAGAATATGAAAATATAAAATTTAAAAGTCAAAGCATTTTGTCAACAATCAAAGTTAACAACAATCAAAGTTAACAACTATTTGCTTCAAGGTAACATTGCTACATTTTATTTGGTTGAGGGATTTTTTCATGCTACCTCATAATTTAAAATATCTAATATTTCTTGAAAAATAATTCATAGGTAGATATGCTTCTTTACCCATTTTTAATTAAAATGCCACGTGAAAGTTGACTTTGACGTAAAAAGAAAAAAAATATTCTACAAAAAAGTAAAAATATGTTGAGTTATTGTAGAAACACTTTCTTTTATAGAAATTTATTTATTTGAAAAACTACAAATATATTTTCTGCATTTATGGGATTTAAAAGGAGTGAGAAACCCTCATTAATAGTCAACACCATCCGTCTATCAAATTTAAATTTTTAAGACTTCTACATCCTATGAATGGTGCAATTTCTTTTAGATTTGGTATAACTAGAACAATAATGTTTGCCCGTGCAATGCATGAGTGTATTTTAAAATGGTCGCTTTATGTGTGCATGATTTCTTTCAGACATTGGCCTGCTTTTGAGTAATAATTAACAAATTACGATTACCTATAAAAAAACATTTTAAAAGCTAGCACAAAAAAATGCAGTTTAAGGTGAGTGATGATATAATCAAATTCTATTGATATACTAATTTTCAACAAAAATTATACAATGATTGATGATTGATGGGTGATTTTTTATTCTTTCAATAATTTTACATGATTTTATTTTTATGTTTTTATATATATTTCAACATGATTGAAATATTAAAAAGATTAAGATAATATTCTTAAATAATTAGGGTAAAAGTTAATGGTAAAAATGTAATGTAAAAGGTACTGTTGCACGGTAGTTCGATTAATGATGATTTTGTGGACCAGCTAGTTCGATTAATGATTAACGATTAACAATTAATTAATTAATAATTAGTATTAATTAACAAAATAACGATAAATTGACGATGATAATGGAAGAAGAGGGGAAGACCAAACAGGGCATAACATCAAAGCGAGCGCACACATGCAATTCCGAAAATCTCATTTTAATTTTATTTTATGCTCGCTTCAGAAAATTGCGTTACCGGAGAGTGCAGCCAGTCAGCCACTGCTCTATGCGCCTCCATCGTCCTCTCCGTTATCTAGGGTTTCTAGGGTTTTCGGACGCCGTCCTCTCGTTTTCCAACGCTATTCGAGCTGGAGTTCCTCTCCTTCCTCTCGCGAATCTCTATGCGCCGCTGGTTGAGTGGCTTTGTCGATTAGCTCGCGGCACTCTCTCCCAGCTTCCCCTATCATAAAGCTTTCGATAGAGCTCACCTTTCTTCTTCGCGTTGTTTATGGTTGTCCGGTTAGGACCATGCTGAATGATCAGAGGTAGGTTGTTTTTGTTGTTCAAGGGTTTTGGATTTGGATGGCATTGGGTGACTTAATGGCATCTCGATTTTCTCAATCCTCGGTCGTGGTGGTGTCGAACCACCTGGACGATTATGTATCATCAACCCCTGAAGATAGTGATTTGAGCTCGCACAGAAGGAATACGGAGGCTGCGAGTAGCAGTTATGTTAATGCCTCGCTTTCCACCTCAACCACCATGGCCTATTTACCACAAACTGCTGTATTACGTGAGCTTCGACACGAGGCGTTTGAGACCTCTGTACCCACCGGTCCCTCAGAAAGTGGGCTGGTCTCGAAATGGCGACCCAAGGAAAGAGTAAGGTTCTGCCATTCAATTCATTATTTTCTGATAGCAGCTCAGAATTAAAGAATGAGCAACATTTCTTGATCTCAATTGCTCATGTAACCACTTCATTGTTGAAGTGGACAGTTGATATAATTTGTTACCATCATTGAGCAGTTCCGAGCCATTTAGGGGTCCTGATGGTTAACGGTATACTCACTTAACAGTGATGATATCGCAAATTTTCTGGTGTATGTAAATGAGGCGATCGCTTTCTTTGACATCAAGGCAATTCATTCGGCCAATAAAGTGGTTAAATGCCTTAGTTTGTGTAGGCATGAAATATTTGTGAGGATGTAGCATTCAACCTGTTGAAAACTCAAATTTCATTAAATAAACATAAGTATAATATGTGCATCATGGAGGCTCTTTTAAGACTACATTTATAATTTCTGGGGTCCTGCCTGGCTTATGAACTCACTATAAACTGGATAGATTTGCTGGAGGATAAGACTTCTGCTTTGATTTTTTGTTTTTTGGAATGGGTTCTGACTTTTCAACCGAAGCAGGCAAATATTAGTACACTTGCTTCATTTCAAGAGTGAAAAAACTTTAAGCATGGCATGATTGATGCTTCCTGGGATATTTGAATGATTAATAATCATTAACTACTTACTCATATTTATAATTGCTCAAAATTCTTCAAGTTCCCCTTTTTTAGAATGCCATCTGTAAGAATTTGATTTGATGGAGTCGGACTAATGTGATAATATAGTGCAGTATCAGATGGCAATTGGTTGTAAACAGTAGTGAGAAGTACCTGAATCTTCTTGTTTATCCTGGCTGCTGAATCTTGTCAATTACATTTCTTCACAACTTTTCAATAGACAAATAATTACTCCCTCCGTTCAAAAATTCAAGTCATTTTGAGGGGTTGTATGTTAAAAAATGTAAAGCATTTTGAGTGTTTCAAGGTATAATCATTCCATGTTTTCTAGAAGTACCCCTAATGAAAAAATTACTTTATATTTATTTTAGAGTGAAACACCCTATTAAATAGGGGTAAACATGGAAAGATGGTATTAGTTTGAAAATAAATAACTACTATATTGGGAGGCTGGGATTTTGTTAAAAGTGTCTTATATTTTTAACGAAAGAAGTATGTCAATTTGTCAGAAAATGATATAATGCCACATATACTCATTTACAACTATAAAAAAGTGCGCATGCTTCTTGTAATTTGTTTTGAATTGAAATGGCCTCATTAAATTTGGGACACAAGTGATCCTCTGCCATAGTCTGATTGTATCAAACTATTTGTTTTTGTTTATTGGATGGCAGTTTTTTAACCAAGTAACCTTTCTCTCGAGTACAAGCTAAAACTTCTGCATTTGCTTTTTGCAAATTAATATGAGGCTACTTGATTGTAAGCAATTGATTCAGTGAAGTGATGACTACCACCTGTATTAGTGAATTCATACATCTCTGGGAGAACAATGAAAATCACATAACATTATGTTTTAGTGTACTCATTTCTACTGAATTTTCTTTCAACATAATGGATGTGACTTGTTAATGAAGGAGAAGTTCATTTAAGAAACTGAAAATTGGTGCTATCTTTAGAAAGTTTAACATGCTCATATTTTCCAAGCCACTGGTGACTTCTATCTTGAGACTGCCTGGTGTCTTGCTTATAATGATATTTTTGAGTTCTATGTAAGGAACCCGGTTAGTTGCCTTCTTCTTTGAAGGTTTCCTCCCTTGGTTTTCCCATAAATGTTTTGTTCTGTAGTGTTCTTTTGTTTAATTTATTTTTTAGGGGGGATTGCACTGTTTAGAGTCATGCAACATTTTCTTCTCATTTAAATTGATGAATTGGTGTACCTTTATGAGGAGACAAAAGTTCACTGACATTTTATGTTTAATAGTTCCTAATCACAATACTTTTTCAAACTAAGGATATGTTTGGTACGCAAAAACTCCAGGTTGGAATGTGGAAGAGAAGGAGAACGTGGTGAGAAATGATCCTTGCGCCTCTACATAAAAAAATCAATAAAAAGTGACATACTGTTGAGAAATATTAATGAGGGCATTACATAATAAATAAGTTTCTTGTTTTCCATGATTACCTTTTCCTCCGCCTTTCTTATGAGCTACTAAACATGAAAAAGTGTTTTTTGTTTTCTTTTTGATGTTGTAATGCTTTTAGAAATGCTTATAGATGTTATACTTGCTGAGAAGTCTGCTTTGATTTAACTCCTGATTTTGTGGTGCAGATGAAGACGGGATGTGTAGCGCTAGTATTATGTTTAAACATTAGTGTTGATCCACCTGATGTAATTAAGATATCTCCCTGTGCCAGAATGGAGTGCTGGATAGGTCTCTTTTCAATCTGCTGATCTTATATGTATTCTTAGTTTTAATTTTCTCTGGTTTATACAATTAAGTTCAAATTTGGCTTTGGGACTTGGGCATCATTGTGGTGCTCCAGTATGTTTGGAAATTGTTTCTGGTTCCTTATTGTTATAATTAGGGTAGAACAGCACTGATATTTTATTCATAAGAAGTGTTTACATATACAGAAGAGATGAGAGGAAGAGAATCTACACAAATCACTAATATCTCTCCTATAATCTTGGCAAATCAAATCAGATGCTGATAAGAGATAAAATCAGATATTAATAACAGATAGCAGATCTTATTTAAATAAGGAAAATTAGGTCTAATCTTGATATGGGCCTATGGCGCCTTAGGACCTTATCCAACACTCCCCCTCAAGCTGGCGAATAGATGTTAATCATTCCTAGCTTGCTTTTGAGTCCTTCAAATTTGTTTTGGGTCAAGGATTTGGTCATAATATCTGCAATCTGGTTCCCTGAAGGGATGTAAGATAGATCTATCACCTTAGCTTCAATTTTTTTCTTTGATGAAGTGTCTATCCATTTCCATATGCTTCATGTGGTCATGTTGTACAAGGTTGTTAGCGATCTTTATGGCTGACATATTATCATACCATACTAATCGGACCATTCAGATCAATCTTCAATTCCTTCAAGAGACGAATGATCCACATTCCTTCACATATTCCTAGTGATAAGGCTCGGTACTTTGATTCTGCTGAACTTCTTAACACTACTGGTTGCTTCTTACTCCTCCAGCTCACTAAATTTCCCCACACATAAGAACAATGCCCAGTAGTTGATCTTCTATCACTCTTTGAGCCTCCCCAATCTGCATCAGTGAATAATTCAACAGTTCTGATGGTATTCTTTGAAAAAAATAGTCCTTGTCCAGGATTCTTCTTCAAGTATCTAAGAATCCTGTAAACTGCTATCATGTGTTCCTTTTGAGGAGCACTAGAGAATTGACTCACAACACTAACTGGAAAGCATATGTCAGGTCGTGTGTGGGACAAATAAATCAGTTTTCCCATTAACCTTTGGTATCTTTCTTTGTTTACTACAGTGCCATCTGGTTTAATTGTTAACTTCTGATTTAGTTCCATTGGAGTGTGTGTAGGCCTTGCCCTCAACATCCCTGTTTCCTTTAATAAATCTAGAGTGTATTTCCGTTGTGATACACTAATCCCTTTTTGTGTTCTTGCCACTTCCATTCCCAGGAAGTATCTTAAGGGACCAAGATCTTTAATCTCAAATTCTGCTGCCAGATTTCCCTTTAGTTTAGTGATTTCTTCCACATCGTTCCCTGTCAACACGATGTCATCCACATAAACAATAAGGACTGTTAATTTTTCTCCCCAATGCTTGACAAACAACATGTCATCTGCTAGGCATTGTTTGTATCCCCAGGACTTGATAGCTCGAGAGAATCGGTCAAACCAAGCTCTTGGAGACTGCTTTAATCCATATAGCGATTTGTACAACCTGCAAACTTTATGAGAGTTTTCAGAATTTCTCAAACCAAGAGGAATCTCCATGTATACTTCCTCATCCAGATCACCATTTAAAAATGCATTTTTAACATCCAATTGGTGAAGTGGCCAATCTAGATTAGCAGCAAGTGATAATAATACCTTAACTGAGTTGAGTTTGGCCACAAGGGAGAAGGTCTCTTGGTAGTCTATACCATAGGTCTGAGTGAAACCCCTTGCAACTAATCTAGCTTTATATTTGTTTATACTTCCATCAGGGTTATATTTCACAGTGAAAACCCACTTACTGCTAACAATAGATTTTCCCTTTGGCAAGTTGGTGACCTTCCCAGTTTGATTCTTGTAAAGTGCCCTTAGTTCTTCATCTATAGCCTGCTTCTATTTATGATCAGTTATAGCTTCTTCAAAACTATTAGGAATTTTCACTTGTTCAACATTTGCCACAAATGTCTTCATATGGGGAGAAAGTTTCTTATAGGAAACATATCTTGCAATGGGATGTTGGGTACAACTCCTCTTCCCTTTTCTAAGAGCAATAGGCCATTGTAGGTCTTCAAGACTCACCTCAGGTGTGGAGTCATGGCTTTGCTTCGGAACAAAAATGGGTTCAGCTCTTTCTCTGTTATGGTCCTGTTCACTAGCATGATTAGGTTCCTCCACCCTAGTTTCGAGGTCATCAAGGAACAGGTTAAGAGGTTCAAGAGGGTTAACATCCTGAAAATCTGATCTGTTTTTGGAATTTCCAGAATTTGTAGAGTCTGTTTGGTGAGGATCTGAACTGATTCTTGGTGAAACATCAGTATATTGAGGAAAGGTTGTAGAATCAAAGGAATCAGTATGTTCAAAGGTGTCATCTAGTGATATATGGGGAACATCCTGTTTCTGTCCAGATTTGGAATATTTATAATGATCATTACAAATCAGCCATTTATTCTCAGATTTATTCTCAGTAGTCTCCCCCTGAATGGGTGATTTGGAGTAATAGGGTTGTTTTTCAAGGAAGTGAACATGCATGGTCTCATATACTTTATTGGTGATAGGAGAAAAACATTTATACCCTTTTTGACTGGAAGAATAACCCAAGAAAATGCATTTTATGGCTTTAGTATCCAATTTTCCTGCTTCCTTATTATAAACAAAAGCTGTGCACCCAAAAATCTTTTGAGGGATGTTGGTAGTAAGAGGAGAGTTAGGAAAACTTTCCGAAAACTTTTGAAAGTGTATGGCAAAATTTAAAGTTTTGGAGGGTAAGCAATTTATAAGATAAGCGGATGTAAGAATAGCATCCCCCAAAATTTGTTCGGAACATGACTTTCAAACATAATAGCTCTAGCTACTTCAAGTAAATGTCTATTTTTTCTTTCAAACATGCCATTTTGTTGGGGTGAGTAAACACAAGATGTTTGATGATGTATGCCTTTTTCTTTCAAAAAAATTTGAAAATTCAGGTTCACATATTCCCTCCCATTGTCACTTCAAAGAATTTTTATGGAAGTCTGAAACTGATTTTGAACAAAGGCATAGAAGTTTTTGAAGATATTGAAAACTTCTGATTTTTCTTTCATCAGAAATACCCAAGTCAAGCGAGAATGATCATCAATAAATGTTACAAACCATCTTGTTTTAGAATTTGTTTCAAATTTGGATAGACCCCAAACATCACTGTGGATGAGAGCAAAAGGGTGACTTGGTGTGTATTTGTGATGGATAAGAATTTTGAACTTGTTTAGCAAAGTGGCAAGTCTCACAATGAAATTCAGAAACTGACTCTTTATTGATATTTGGAAATAAAAATTGCAAATAATGTGGACTAGGGTGGCCTAACCTAGAGTGCCATAACATCAAGTCTTCATGAGACATAACAGAAAAAACACCATAACTTTTATTTGATGAAGATCCATGGATATAGTAGAGCCCATTTCTCTCCTTAGCATTGCCAATCATCCTCCCCAAGGCCAAGTCCTGAAAATCACAGCCACTTTTGTCAAAAATAGCGCGACAATTTAATTTAGATGCCACACATTTTACAGACAATAAGCTGCACTTAATCTCAGGTACATATAACGCATCCTTCAACACAATATTTTTAGAGATTATCACAGTGCCAGATTTGAGTACTTCAGCGTATTGTCCGTTTGCAACTTCAACAGTCTCATGCTTAGAAAATTCACTAAATTTAGAAAACAAATTCCTAAAACCTGTTACATGATCAGATGCCCCAGAGTCGACATTCCAAATATTGTTGGATTTTTTCATACTATCAAAAGTTTGAGTTAAAGCTGTACCTGCTTGTGCCATAGTCACAGAAGGAGTATTATTCTCACATATTTTTGCAGACGCAGAATGTTTCTCTGGAACTTTCCTTAAGACCAGCAGCTCTTTAGTGCTTAATCCCCCAATTTCAGCTTCTGTTGTGGTCACTGACAGTCCCTTGCCTTTCTGTTTGAAATTCTGAGGCTTGCCATGTAACTTCCAGCAAGTTTCTTGAGTATGTCCGTTTTTATTGCATTGATCACACCTTCCAGACTTCTTACCCTTCATATCTCCTTGATTTCCTTTGACAGCAAGTGCAGAACCTTTAAGTGAAGTAGAGGAAGGCGTAGAATGTTCCTGGGTCAAAATCTTTTGACTTTCTTCGCATTTGAGCATGTTAAAGGCATCTTCTAGTAATGGAAGAGGCCTCATGCCCATTATACGTCCTCGGACATCCTCAAAGGAGTCATTGAGTCCAAGTAGAAACTCATAGCACCTTTCTCGATCAACGATCTTTCTGTAGTACTCTCCATCTTGCTGGCAAGTCCATTCATGGACCTCGTAAATATCAATTTGTTGCCATAGCCTCATGAGAGCACTGGAATATTGAGTGACAGATTGCTCTCCTTGCAAGAGATTTCGAAGCAATTGCTTCACTTGAAAAATGGCAGCTGTGTTCTCCTTGACTAAGTAGGTGCGCTTTGTAGATTCCCATATTTCTTTGGCTGTAGTTGCCAATAGGTAATTTTCGCCAATCTCGACAATCATAGAATTCACGAGCCAGGCCATGACCATATTGTTTTCTGCCCACCAAGACTTGAACTTAGCATCTGGAATTGCTGGAGGATTCTTTGTGAGGTATTTCTCGCGATTCTTTCCTTGAACAAACATCATAATATGTCGCGACCATTGGAGGTAGTTGTTGCCATTAAGTTGATGAACAATCACAGCTTGCGAGAACGAATCGTTCCTTGAACTCAACGTCCCGAAGGGAGAGTTCATGCTGTGCGCATTCAAACCAGTACCTTGTTAGTCTTCTTTGGCTGATGATATTGGGCCATCACTTGTGGTGAAGACTTGTGGCTGGTTTGTTAGAGCTGCCCTATATGCCATTGATCACAGACCAAAGCTCTAATACCATGTTATAATTAGGGTAGAACACCTTGATATTTTATTCATAAGAAGTGTTTACATATACAGAAGAGATGAGAGGAAGAGAATCTACACAAATCACTAATATCTCTCCTATAATTTTGGCAAATCAAATCAGATGCTGATAAGAGATAAAATCAGATATTAATAACAGATTGCAGATCTTATTTAAATGAGGAAAATTAAGTCTAATCTCGATATGGGCCTATGGCACCTTAGGCCCTTATCCAACACTTATATTATTCTGTTCACTGTTTCTCCATCTTTATTGTCCTAAACTCTTTACTTGGTTTTACTGGTTCCCATTTCTAATCAGTCCAGACAAATAATTGTTAGTGCCCTATTTAGCAGTAAAGCAGTTGTCTATTTGCATCTTCTTTGCGCTTATTTTTTATTGCACCATGGTTCATACTTGTTGTTCAACTAGTTCTTGAGTTTTGACATTTTTTATTTCTAATTTTATCATCTTTGTGTTATTTGTATGCTTCTTATTTGTTAATGAGTAATACTAGATAAATTGTTAAAGCTGAATATAATGATGTCGCTGGTATATGGGTAGCCTGAACTGAATTAATAATGTTTATCTCCTTTTTATAATAATGCATTGTTTCCTTTTTTATTTTTTTTCCAACAAATGTATTAATGTATTGTTAATTGCAGAGGAATGCAATACAAGTGATTGAAACTCCACTTATTTACAATCAGGATTGTCATACTTGGGAACTTCAATGAATTTCAAATCTTTTTTTCGATTATTTAGATTAAAACCAAATAAACAATAGGGTCTTTGGGATTTATTGTTGACATATTTTTTTTCTCGTTGATCAAGTCTGATTCTTTCTTGTCCTGTTCTTTTCTTTATCATACTGTAGATCCTTTTTCCATGGCACCTCAAAAGGCATTGGAATCAATTGGAAAAACCTTAAGTAGTCAGTATGAAAGGTGGCAACCAAAGGTGGGGACATTTGGCTAATTAACCTCACATCTCATATTACCTTTTGAAGGTGATTTATCACTTCAATTTTTGGGTATATTGACAGGCACGTTATAAGTGTCAACTTGATCCTACAGTAGATGAGGTGAAGAAGCTTTGCACTACATGTCGTAAGTATGCAAAGATGGAGAGAGTTTTATTCCATTACAATGGACATGGCGTGCCCAGGCCAACTGCCAATGGGGAAATTTGGGTCTTCAACAAGGTTAAAATCTTCCTTTTAGTTCTTAATTTAAGTTCAATGTTTGAGAGATCACCTTTTCTTTGGTTCTGAGCAAGTGGTGTTAGGTCAATAGACAGATAGAAATTCATGATGGTGGGTGCCTGAAAATCATATGTATCTATCATGGAAAATTTTTTCTTTGAAGTTCCCTCATACCACAGATATAGTTTTGTTTGCTTGGCGGGGGTATAGTTTAGTTTGCATGGCAGGGATGAAAATGAAAATGTTGAAAATGGGTGGATGATGATAATGAATAAAAATCATCCTGTACTTTTTAAGTAGAATGGCTTAGACAACAGATGAAAAATGGATTAGCCATACTTAGAGATGAAAGAATGTGGTGTTACACTAAATAGATGAAATTTTAATGTAGGCTTTTCAGAACAATACAACATCAAATAGTCTTGTCTCACTTGGTGGGGTTGGTTACATAGATTTAATAACGTCATTATAACACAATTTCCATAGAATAGAAATATGTAATATTAAAATCTTAATTTTGTACTTGGCAAACTAATTCATGTTTCTGGGCCCACTCATCCCTAACCGATGTATTTAATTAAAGATTCTATTGTTTGCAATTTCATTACTAGTTATAGAAAAATGATCATCAAATTTGTGCCTTTTATGGTAGCAATGAGAAGTAATTTTTCTTTTGCAATATCTATTATAAACCTGTTAGTTTTAATTAAAGTAGTTATTCTATTCTAGTACCTTTTTTATTTAGGGGCAGAAAAGACATTTCTCATCCACAATAATGTTTTTTTTTTCATTCCATTCCTTCTATTTCATCCCATTTTGTACGCCAAAGTCTTTTGAAATTAGATGCTCTAATATTTGCATTACTGATCAGTTGCTCAGTTCTCACAAGTTTTGGGCTTCAAATTGCTATGCAAATTTTCTAGCTAAATTGGGCTTGATTCTGACCTGTGAATTGAAAAATAGGAATGTGCTAGGCTTTGGCCAATTTTTGTGCTAAGCTTTAAGATTCTTGTGTCAGCCAAGCTGCAGGTTTTTCACTTCTTTCTTAACATCAACCAATTCCTAACTGATATGAAATTCTTAGCAACATGAAAGTGGGGGAATTCCTTGTAAGTGTTATTTCACATATTAATGCGGGAGAGGCACAAGAGGAACTAGAGTTGGGAATACAGGTGGGCCTGGCCTTTATGGGCCTGAGCCCTAAAGCTCGGTTCCTTATTTTGAATCTCATTTCTCAAGCCCGGCCCTTATGTAAAGGGCTCAGGGCCGGGCCCGCAAGCCCTTTTTCAAAAAATTAAAAAAAATAAAAATAAAATTAAACATTATAAATTAATTAAAATATTCTAAAATTAAAAAAAAGTAAAATTCTCATAATTTTTTAAAAATTAAACAACACACATTTAGAAGTCTAGTAATAAAATTTAAATCTTGGTAAAAAAATAATTCATTTTTTATAAATACACAAACATAATAATTATAAAAAAATAAAAAATATCAAGAATTTTATACTATACACTGATATTTATTAAATTATATTAAATTAATTTTAGAATAAATTAAAATTAATAATAATATAATACGTGTAGGATCAGATGAGCAGGTCATTAGCTTCAAATACATGTTCCACCAAAGAAAATAAAAATAATAATAATAATAATATAACAGGACTTGAAGGGTTACCCAAGCCTGAGCCTTTTTTCACAGGGCTTATTAGGGCCAAGCCTTCAAGTTCGATTACTTGAAAAAAATTTATTTTCAAAGCCCAAACCCTTATTTAAACAGGGCCTCTAAGCTCAGCCCTTCAGGCCTGGCCCTTATTCCCGGCTCTCCCTCGATCTTTGCTTTAGTGTAGCAATTCTTAGATGATGTGGTTTTACCATTTTTGTGTCCTGACTTATGTCTTTACAATCCTTTGCAAACTTGTAATTCTTGCTCTGTCAACTAACTCTAAATTTCATGTATAACTATTTTATTTCTAGTTCTTGGTTGATAATTATTCTTTTCTGGTAAAATTCCTTTTTTCCTTTTAAATAGTGATAGACTTAAGTTTCATTAACACTTTTCAATTTTTGTTCCTTTGTTGTTTTTCCTCTTCGCAACCTTCTATATGGTTAAAGGCCAATAATGCTAATAGTTTTTGAGTAGTCAATTATCTTCATAATAATCAAATCAAAATACCAAAAAAGGTAAAAACTAGTATTGAAACGTGTGAGCTCTCAAAATTTTCTCACATTCAAAGTTATATTTTATATTTTTGTCAAAGCATCTTTACACATGTCTCTTGGGCCTGCCCGCCAATAAAATTTATTTAGCTTTTCCCACACGAATAAAGCTAAGTGGAAAAAAGAGGAGGGAAAGAAGAGAACTAAGAGAATGGGGGAGGAGGAACTATAAATGTGAGAGGAGAGAGGGGCAAATCAGGAGTCAGTAATACAATGACTTACAAAATAAATGGGTAGTAAATTTAAACCAATCCTTATTCAGGCAAACAAATATTCTAATTCTACTATGATAAATTTTTTATAGTAGACATTTTTCCTTATGACTGATCAGACTCTGGAATATGTCATACTCTTGCGAATAAAAGAACTTCATAATTCCTACTCTCATGATCTCATTCTTCACTAGTTCATGTTGCAGAGTTATACACAGTATATTCCATTACCAATCAACGACCTTGATTCCTGGCTGAAGACCCCATCGATATATGTATTTGACTGCTCTGCTGCTGGCATGATTGTTAATGCCTTCATCAAGGTACCCACGCTGAGCCATAGCTAGCATTAATGTGTGCAAAGATAGCTAAGAACACACAGAATTGATTTTGTCTTTTTTTTTTTTAATGTCAAATTGGTTGATGGACTTGTTATCCAGAAGCTCCATGAATGGGATGCTTCTAGTTCGGGATCTGCTAGGGATTGCATTCTGCTTGCAGCATGTGAAGCACATGAGACTTTGCCTCAGAGTGCAGAATTTCCAGCTGATGTGTTTACATCGTGCCTCACAACGCCCATCAAGATGGCATTGCGATGGTGAATCTTCTCTTATAATTTATTTTCTTATTTGATAAACTTTCATGTTAATTTATTTTCTCTTATAATCTGCTTTTTTTTTTTCTAATTCTTGAGAATTTATGTGTTGCTAGACATACATTTGTTATTGATAAATCATTGTGTGGCAATTGGTTCCCTAGGTTTTGCACTCGTTCATTGCTTCGTGATTCCCTCGATTATTCACTTATTGATAAGATCCCTGGCCGGCCAAATGATCGAAAGACGCTTTTAGGTGAATTGAATTGGATTTTCACAGCAGTAACTGACACGATTGCCTGGAATGTTCTTCCTCATGGTATGTCCCAATCATCCAAGCTGCTCCACTTAGGAAATTAGCATGGCATATCCTTGAAATCCATCACTTTATCTATTCAATATTTAAGTGTCTTAGCATGATATTTAGTTTTGCTCTACAGATCTTTTTCAGAGACTCTTCAGGCAAGATTTGCTTGTTGCCAGTCTATTCCGAAACTTCCTACTTGCTGAGAGAATCATGCGATCTGCAAATTGTTCTCCAGTCTCACATCCAACATTGCCGCCAACCCATCAGCATCATATGTGGTATCTATCTATCGTGGAAGATGATTTTCATGTTATCGTACAATGTGAGAAAATTAATGATGTTACTGTTATTAATTAATGCTGCAGGGATGCTTGGGACATGGCTGCTGAGCTTTGCCTCTCTCAGCTCCCCTCATTAGTTCAGGATCCTAATGTAGAATTTCAGGTATAAAAAAGTTTGTTATGCTACTAAAGTCAGTTTCCTTCTGGCAATGGCAATGCATATTATGAGTTTTTTTTTTAATTTTTTTTTCATGGCTCGGGTATTTAAGCATCATGAAATTAACCTAGGATCGATCATTCTTCATCATGATTGGCCTTGCTTGGTGTTGAATATATTTGTTTTCTTTTCAGCCAAGTACATTCTTCACTGAGCAGTTAACAGCATTTGAGGTATGGCTTGACCATGGTTCTGAACATAAGAAACCTCCAGAGCAGTTGCCTATAGTTCTTCAGGTGCGTCATGTTTCTTGGTCTATGTTACATTCGGAACCGTCACTTTGGTTCCTAATTCTTTTGTTATGTAGGTTGCCTGATTTTTGCCAATTCAGCTGGCAGGACCTGTTCATTAATTAGGTTTTGGTGGGTAAGATGGAATAAGGTGTTTTTCTTTGTTGGAAATTGTTTCATTTTGGTTGTTGACGATGTCCTTCTGATGGAAATGTGAAAAAATGTGTATTTGTTGAGTTTCTACCACTAGAGCCAGAAGCAATCTTGTAAGACGTTAATTTTGGGTTTTGTTTCCATGATAAATGGCATAATGGATCTGTCTTATTCATTTTTCCTGTTTAGATTTAATAATCATATGCTATTTAGCTGTATGATGACTAACGACACTTGTGTTTCTATGATGTGTCTCGTGTACTGTGAAACCTATTTCACAAATCATCCTTTTTGTATTTTTGTTTGTGCTCTCAAGCCAAGGTTTCTCCTTCTACACACAATTTATATTTTGATTGTGTGAAGATTTTATGTGTTTTGCATTTTGCATGCTTTAAATGTGGGAGCATTTTGATTTCAGGTTTTGCTTAGTCAATGCCATAGCATCATGCTTTGTGGCTCCTTGGAAGGTTCCTTGATATGGGGCCATGGGCTGTAGAACTGGTAATTACTCCTCTTCACTGAATTAATTCATAACCTTTGTTGCAATTGTCCCTATGAATGTTTGTGATGCCATAACTTGATACCAAATTTCCTATATGCAGGCATTATCTGTTGGAATATTTCCATATGTTTTGAAGCTATTGCAAACAACTACTCCTGAACTTCGTCGTATTCTTGTTTTCATATGGACAAAGATTCTTGCACTTGATAAGGTACATCTAGAGGAGTTTAATTATTCATAGAAGTAGACCTATGTTTTATGAGGGGCATGATTGCTGTATATGCTTTACATCTTAGCCCTCTTTAACTGTTTTCTTGTTTAGGGAAAATGACAATTAACAATCCATAATTAGAATTAGTGATTGCTAAGGACCTTAAAATTCCTCACAAAGTCCACAGAATAAGTTATCATTGATGCTTTCCTGAAGTTATCACTTATTCACGTGTACTTTTTAAAGTTACAGCTTGATCCCCCCACTTTTACTATGATGTCTTAATTTTATTACTATCTTTGGATGAAAAACACCCTTGTAACATCTGCAAGAACACTTAAGGGAACTAGACAATTGTAACTTATATCGTGTTAGAGAGGAATTTTGACTCTAAGGTATTAACTGTCATTAATATAAATTATTAGTCTTTAACTATTATTGTTCATCAAGTGCTTTACTTAGTGAGTCCATCATCCATGCTTAGCTCATTAGCATGAATATTACCTGTTGACGTTTTTTTGCAGGTTTGGTGTTGGGTGTTGGGTGTTGGCATGTGCTACTTGATTTCTAATCCCCTGCCCCCACCCCAAATATTCAACTAGTTAACAGCCTATAATAAATCCTGCTATTGGCAAACCCAGTTCTTAATTTTTTCGGAACTGTACTTTGCGTATTGCCAATTAGATTACAACTGCAATCTAATTTCTAAATTTTCGGACAATCCTAAGTAATCTAAACTACTAATTCCATATATATTCTTAAACTACACAATAAAATTTATACCTTATAGTTACAAGAATCATATATCTTCTTTAATCTCTCTCCTTTTTGGTTTCCTTCTATTTGGCGTAGCTCTCCTTGTTGGCTTCATCTTCCTGACAGGGTACTTTCTGTTGGATTTTAGTCATGTCAGGTTGATCTAGTGAAGGATGGAGGTCATATCTATTTTATCAAGTTTCTTGATAGTGTGGAAGCATCGCCAGATCAACGTGCAATGGCTGCTTTTGTCTTGGCTGTTATTGTTGATGGGCATAGACGTGGCCAAGAAGCCTGTATTGAAGCTGGTCTGATCTGTGTTTGCTTGAGGCACCTGCAGAGTTCTCCTCCCAATGAGGCACAAACTGAACGCCTGTTCTTCCTTCAGTGGCTATGCCTCTGTCTAGGGAAACTTTGGGAAGATTTCACTGAGGCCCAGATAATAGGCTTGCAGGCAGATGCTCCTTCTATATTTGCACCCCTACTATCTGAACCCCAACCAGAGGTTTACTTTAGTAACTTCAATTATTTTTTAAGTTACCATATGCATATCATTTTATGAATCTTTTAATTTAGATCAATGCTGTAGTTTTGATAATTTGTTGTCTCAGGTCAGGGCTTCTGCTGTTTTTGCACTTGGAACCCTTCTTGATGTGGGATTCGACTCTTGCGGCGAAGGTGTTGAAGGGGATGAAGAATGTGATGATGATGAAAAGTTTAGGGCTGAAGTTACTATAGTTAAAAGTCTTTTGAGTGTTGCTTCAGATGGGAGTCCATTGGTGAGGGCAGAGGTAGCTGTTGGTAAGTGATCAAGGATCAGAGATTATAAATCCATTTTCATTGCTCATTTTTAAAGGTTTGCATGTTTTTATGATTTGACAAGTATCAATTTTTAAACTGATTTTGCATTTTGTTCATTCCTGCCAATTGTCAACAATCAACTGTTTTTTGGATAGCTAGCTGTTTTAAAACTTAGTAGTCGAAAAAAATTGAAGAGATTTTTCAGTATGTTAAAAGGTGAGAGGAGCGGATCAGCATGATTAAAAGATTTAGCTCGCATAACCTTCATATGTTTGTTGCTGTGCTGCCAAATATTCTCTTGAATTTTTTTCCCCCAGAGTGTGAGAGTATTGAGTACATTTGCTTTATCTGTTTTTTTTTTTTTTTGCATGTGTCTGCTGGGGGGTTTTAGGGGGAGGCAATAGTATCACAAATATATCTTGGTAACTCTTTTTGCTTGCGATCATCAGCTCTGGCACGCTTTGCCTTTGGCCATAATAAGCACCTAAAATCCATTGCTGCTGCATGTTGGAAGCCGCAGACAAATTCCTTGTTCAACACCATACCTTCATTGTTGCATATGAAAGGTTTGGGTGGTGGATATGCTAGCCAAAACCGACATATGCCTCATGGAAGTATCATTGCATCTCAAATTGGTCCCATTTTGAGGGTTGGGAATGACAATTCAATAGTAGTGCGAGATGGACGAGTCTCTTCTAGCAGTCCTCTAGCAAGTTCTGGAATGATGCATGGTTCTCCATTGTCAGACGACTCTTCTCAACATTCTGATTCAGGAATACTGAATGGAGTGTTGGACCACTCAGGACCAAAACCTTAGACATTGAACTGTATTCACAATGTATAATTGCTATGTATACATTAGCAAAAGATCCATCTCCACGCATTGCAAGCCTTGGTCATCGGGTACTGTCCATAATTGGGATTGAACAAGTAGTAGCAAAACCATTAAAGACCGCTGCTATTCAGACTAGTGAAGCTACAGCATCTCTTAGTCTTGCGGGATTGGCTCGTTCATCCTCTTGGTTGGATATGAATGGAGGTAGATCTCTCTGTTGTCCCTTTACCTTCTTCATGTGTGATCATTTCTAATTTTAAGTCGGAGTTTCTGTTTGAACCTGTTAGATTTTTGTGACAAGTATGTCTTCAATTTGTTACTGGCTGTTTACTTGTGCATGCTGTTCTGTTAGGTCACTTGCCTCTAACCTTCAGAACTCCCCCAGTGAGCCCCCCTCGCCCTAGTTACATAACTGGAATGCGGAGAGTATGCTCGTTAGAGTTCAGGCCCCACCTCATGAATTCTCCAGACTCTGGATTAGCTGATCCACTTCTTGGTTCTGGCAGAACTTCTGATCGTGGTTTTATTCCACAATCAACTATATATAATTGGAGTTGCAGTCACTTCTCCAAAGCAGATGATTTTGAAGAAGTGTCATCTAGAAGAGAAGAGAGGGAAAAAATTGCATTGGAGCACATAGCAGAATGCCAACATTCTGGTTTGTTTTATGTTGACTTACTTTATTTAATCAATCACGTGGTTTAAATGCTCTTAACTAGAGGATTGATGGCATTCCATTCTGGTCAGCTGTTAGCAGGCTAATAAATCCAATTGCTAAATGGGACACAAAGGGTACACAAACGACATTGATGCATCCTTTCTCTCCTATAGTGATAGCTGCTGATGAGAATGAACGGATCAGGTATACTGGAAGGGGGTTATAAATAACTGTATTGAACAGGAAGGGGTTATAAATAACATCATTTTTTTAAATGTTGTTGTGGTTTTTTGAGCTAATATAAGTTTTCGTCTTTCTTCCCAAGGATAATAAAGTGTCTGCTTTATTTTTAGCACTATATGTTTGACTAATACTAGATTTAGACAGGCGACAAGACCAAACCATTTTGAAAGCCTTTGGACAAATACTAGATATAGACTGGAGACAAGACCAAAAAACAAACCATGTTTGACTAATACTAGATAGAGACAGGCGACAAGACTGGAAAACAGACCATTTTAAAAACATTCGTGAAACTATTTGTGTTTGTATTTCTCAGTTGATTCACTCAAAACAAAGTACATATATAGATGTTACAGGGACGACCGAATCTGATTGTATCGGGCAAGAGAATTAAAACAGAAGCAATCCCATATATTTGGGGATATAAAAAATAAATAGCAAATATCTAATAACTAGAATATATTAGGTAATTAGGGCAGACTTCCCTAATGGGCCCAAGAGGCAGCAAGTCCACTTCCAACAATTCGGAATTCAATTTGTTGCTTAGGTTTCAGATCTCAGTGGATGTAGTTTCTGTTGTGTTATGTCACCTTGGTTTTTATTTTTATTGACTAGATGTTTGAATGCCCCACAGGATATGGAATTATGCAAAGGCTACACTTCTCAACAGTTTTGACAATCACGGTTTTCCTGATAAAGGAATTTCTAAGCTCTGCCTAGTGAATGAGCTTGACGATAGTTTGCTTCTGTCTGCTTCATGTAACATTTACTGTTGTTTGTTTTACTCTCTATTGTCAAGATAGATTTGTAATGTTACCTTTCTTAATGAATTTGTGTTTGTGCAGCTGATGGAAACATTCGAATTTGGAAAGATTATACATTAAAGGGTAAACAAAAGCTTGTCACTGCTTTCTCTTCAATCCATGGCCATAAACCGGGCATGCGAAGTCTGAATGTTGTTGTTGATTGGCAACAGCAAAGTGGTTACATGGTATGCAATTCGAATGGAGAGCGTGTTACTGCCTGCTGCTGAAATTAACTACAAGAAACTTCTATTTCTGCCCCCCATGTTACATTCATTTATTTTGATCTTATTCCTTGTTATATTTGTTAGTATGCTTCAAATAAGATGTCTACATTGCTCTGGGATCTGGACAAGGAGCAGCTTGTTAATACTATAGCTTCGTCATCAGATTGCAGTATCTCAGCTTTGGTAAGCCTTGCCTTTGCAAGACAGTGGCAGTTATTCCTGAGCTATGTTTGTTTCTTTTTTTGGCATGGCAATTAACCATCATATACTATACGATGGGGAGTTGAGGTTTCCAGATTACTTTTTAGGTCTAACATGTCAATTAAATCTAGAAGCATTTGTTCTGAAATTCTTATCAGGAGGCATTGTCTGACATTCACGATTCTGTCATTTTGTTGGTTTATTTTTGTTTCAGGCTGCTTCTAAAGTTCATGGGAGCCAGTTTGCAGCTGGTTTTGTTGATGGTTCTGTCAGGATTTATGATGTCAGGACACCTGAAATGTAAGCTCCTCAAATAGAAGTTCCTTCGATGAGAGAAATGTTAATGCGTTCCCAGCATGAGGTTGAATTAAGCGACACAAGCATCTGTGATATTTCTCTATTGTCACGGTTTATATAATATGCATCTAAAATAAAATATATTCTGCTATTCTAGTGGTCGCTGGTATTCTAGTTCTAATTGAATTTAAATTGAGAGTGCAGAAATTTCTGTTTAGATGACGAGCCTCACTCTCTTACCTTGCCATTTCTCTTTAATGACAATGATGTTTCTTAGGCTTGTCTCTGCTTCACACCCACATACTCACAGAGTGGAAAGAGTTGTCGGGATTGGCTTCCAACCAGGTCTAGACCCGGGAAAGGTAAAACGACGATCTTTACCAGTTTCATACTTTGTAAATAACCTGTATTATGAAATTATTACTTATGGTCCATGGATTTTGTTGGGAAAAAAAAATGATGATATCATGTGGCATTTATTTTTCCTTCAGATTGTTAGTGCTTCTCAGGCCGGAGATATCCAATTTCTTGATATAAGAAATCACAACGGTGCCTATCTCACCATTGAAGCTCACAGGGGCTCACTTACAGCTTTAGCTGTACATAGACATGCTCCAATTATTGCGAGTGGCTCGGCCAAACAAATAATCAAAGTCTTCAGCCTGGAGGGTGATATACTTGGCACAATTCGATACTACCCTACCCTAATGGCCCAGAAAATTGGTGCTGTAAGCTGCCTCAATTTCCACCCATACCAATTATTGCTTGCTGCTGGTGCCGGGGATGGGTGTGTATCTGTCTATGCCGACGATAACACTCAAGCAAGATGAATCCACGCGTCTCCATGATAAGTTTCATTGGCACCTAGGTGGTTCAAGAACATACTTGAGGACGGCCACGCATATTACTTGCAGTTGGATTACCATGTGATGATTCCACAATCCGCAGCCTGTGTGAATACGTTCGGAAATATTGGTTGATTCTGCTAATTAGTGTATACGTTATCTATTCATTAGTCTCCATTGTTGAGGGTTGCACTCGGCAGGAAGAAAGTCCTGCGTATGTTTGTTAGTTTGGAGGCTTAGGCAAATAATGTCAATTTGGTAAATGTGTGTATATATATCCTCATAATGTTATTCTTTTCCTCGCTCGTGTGTCATTTCTCACCCTATTTTCCAATCTGTAATTCAGAATTCATAATTGAAATTGTTTCTGGCGGATAATGAAGGTGGTGGAGTCCGGAAAATCTGGGCTCTTTGCGTTAAATTGGTGGGCCCCAGTTCCGGTGGTAGTAAACTCCAATATTCCGGTATGAGCGAAGTACTGTTTATTATTACTGGTCTGGATCCGTAAGTTCGCATCCTTCGAATTCCTGACAAATTACTTATCCTTTGGCAATTTCTGCCGTGGCATCAACAGGAAGGGTTGTGTCTTGAAAGAGAGCCGTCAAATGTAGGTCGAAGGTTTCTTAATTATTTTGAAGGACTACTTTTCCCTAATTTTATGTTTGAGAAGTGCTTAGTCTATTGTATTAAATGGTGGGATAATATTTTTTTATAAATTTTTTTATGAGCAAAATTTTCCTTTCGTTATAGATTCGTTATCTTCATTATCAGTTGATGTTGAATTGTTGCGGGACGCGTGCACAGTGAGAGCTTTGCATTTTGACACATTTTTTCCGCCGCTTCGATGATAAAATCAGGTGATATCTGTCATTATCATTGCACTTACTACCTTTTTGGCCCACATTAGATTGTTAAAATGAGTCAGAATGTCTTGTCACTGTATGCATGTTTCACAACTATTTCACGTCAGTTGGTGATAAAGAAAATGATGGGTTTCTAACATAAATACGATTTTGTTCTTGAAAAAAATTGTTTATGGAGAATATTGCTTGTTTTCAGTACAAAATACCCACTATTCTTTAGAGAAAAAAAATGTCTTTAAGTCTTATTTTAATTTAAAAAAAAACTCCATAATTTGACTTGCTAATTTTGTGGCACGAAATTAACAAAAAATAAACAAGAGCGGAAAATTCTTTTTCGAGGCTGTAACTGTTATGAGGGAGGAGACTTTCCTTTTCCAAATTCTGATGTAAAGTGATTTTTTTTTTCAATTTTTTATTTAAACTGATATTAAATCACTATCATTGGTAGAATTATGATTCATAGAAGAATTAACATCTTATACATGTAGGAAACTAAATGAGTCGGTGAATGAACTACGGATATTAAAAGTTTCCATCTTTGATATGCAGGGAAAGGAAGTATTATTGATAAGGAGTAGAAGAAGAATATAATAAAAGTTCATAAAATTTAAGATAGAATTATCTCTTTAAAAATTATCGTTGGACATAAGACTGTTAATATTACTAGCGTTTATCTCAAGTTGAGGCAAAAGTTGATCTTACTAAATTGTTTTGAGAAGGGTTGGAGAGGTTGATTCAAAGCATGGGAGTGTTTTTAAAAGCCATCCATTTATACAATAATATTAAAAATTAGGAAAGATATCGTATAACTAAAAAGAAAACTAAGAAAGCTTTAAATAAAGCCAATTTTGAAATATTTGAAGAGTTTTACCAGGTCTTAGGACAAAGGTTGAAAACAAAAAATTTATAAGATTGTTAGGATTAGGCAAAGAAAATCAAAAGATTTGGAACAGATAAGATGCAAAACGGATGAAGAAGGAAGATTTTTTTATTACAAATGGTGATATTAAAGATAGATGGATGACCTACTTTTACAAACTTTACAATGATTAAGGGAGCTCATCTAATAGCTTGGAGGACTTATTAACTTATGAAAGAGAACAACATTTGTCATTCTATTGAAAGATACGCAATAATGATAAAATTTGTCATTCTATCAAAAGATACACGATAGTAAAGTAAACAAAGCTCTTAAGAAAATGACAAATAATAGAATTAATGGACCTGATTGTATCCTTATTAAAATGTGAAAAAGTTTAAATGAAGAGAGGGTGTGGTGGTTGAGTTATTTAATGAAATCTTACAATTCAAAAAAAATATCTGAAATGAGAAGTACCTTAGTTCCTATTTACAAAAATAAAGTGAATATTCAGAATTGTACAAATTACAAAGTGATTATGCTCATGAGTCATACAATAAAATTGTAAGAAAAAGTGATTGAGCTTAGGTTGGTATTGAAGATTGGTATTTCTAAGAATCAATTTCTCTTTATAAGGCAACTACAGAAGTGATTTATTATTAAGAGGATTGATGAAAAAGTACCAAAGCAAGGTAAATATTTACAAATGATTTTTGTTGATTTGAAAAAAGCTAATAACCAAATACTGAGAGGAGTACTTTAAAAAGTCTTCAAAAAGAAAGGAGTCTAGGTTGCCTATATTAAAACCATATATATATATATATATATATATATATATAAGGGGGCAACAACCAATATAAGAACCCCTGGCATTGAAACAAAAGACCATCCTATAAGAATTGGACTACGTCAAGGATAATTTTTAAGTCTATATTTGTTTGACTTGATTCTAACTGTTTTGACTAAGCATATTCAAGAAGAAATCTCGAAATACATGTTTTTTATAGATGATATAATTTTTATTACAAAGACGAGAAAAGATTAACAAAAACTTGAGCTATGGAGGAGGCCCTTGGAGTCGAAAGGTTTCCGACTAAAGAGAAATAAGAAAAAATATTTACATTATAATCTTAATAAGAGGTCAATAGTAATTTGGAAATAAGATTAAGATCAAATTATACATCAAGTGAAAAAGCTTAGATATTTGAGAGCTATTATTCTACATGATGAAAAAATTGATAAAAATATTGTACATAGGATACAAGTTGAATAGTTTAATTGGAAAAAAGCTAAATGAATTATTTGTTATCAGTACTTTATAAATTTAATAGGAAGTTTTATCAAACTGCTATAAAACCAACTATGTTATATGGTAGTGAATGTTGAACTTTAAAAAAATAGCATAATATAAAGTTGGAGTAGTAGATATCAGAATGTTAAGATCGATGGATGGGCATACACAAAAAAAAAAAAAAAAAAGAAAATCTAATGAGCATATACAAAAAAAATGAACATAGCATCTATTGACAGAAAAAACATTGAAAATCATTTTTATAAATGTTTAGACATGTATTGAGAAAGCCACAGGAGACAACAATAAGAAAAGTGAAACATATAATCTTGAACCTTGTAAGAAAAAAAATATATCAAAGAGAACACTCATAAAAATTATTAAACAAGATCCCTTAGATAACTATATTTTAAAAAATTTCATTGATGATAAAGCTCAATGGCGCCCTTCAATTGATGTAACCCACCCCAACTAGTGAAATAAAACTAGCTATTATATTATTAACCAAAGGTTCTTGTGCTATAATTTTATTGACTATTCACTTCAGCTTTTAACACAATAATGTAAAAGAAATTCACAAAAAACTTAGATGTGAATAAAATAAGAAATGAAAAGAATAACAAGTGTAACTCAACCGAATGCTATCTTTGAATATATATATATATATATATATAGATTTAAATTTAGAGCAAATCAGGCATCAAAAAATTTATGGATTCCCCCAAATCAAAATTGAAATCTAAATCTAAATTTTATCTTGATTCCTTTATAATTTGAAAATATAATGAAAGTCGTATTTTGTCAAAGTAGCTATTCAACATTACGAATAGTCCAAACACAATTCACAACATCCATGAATCCAAATATAAAATTGGAAGACTGGTTGTCAATGGACAAAGTGTACTTGAGGTCAAGGAAATTCCAGACTTCACGAAAATTGAGAACAACGATGCAGCAGAGCAGAGATTTATGCGGGAAGAAAGTTTAAATATCAAGAAAGAACTTACACAACGAGAGCCACGAGAAACTAAATCATATATGAAAGAATGTTCCAAGGATGCGCAACACTCCAGCTAAATACAAAGATGGGTTGTGACTAGTGTTATCTGTGATCATCTTAGACATAGAAAGGTGTCACTTTTTCAACTTATATGACTTACATGTTGCAAACGTGAAAAAGCTACCAATACTGATATACACCATATTCACATCACATGTTCGCCTTCAAGAATTAATGTCTCACTTACGCCCCCCAACCATACCTGGGCCCATTGTTCCTGACAAACTAGATGACGTGCCACTGCTGGTCATCTTAATCCTTCCATCTGTGTTCCCAAAGACATTCAGATCTTCAAACAATTTGTAAGATGGAACAAAGGGCTTTTGTCCAGTAGCACTGGTATTGTTTCCCAGTCCAGGATTTCCCCTAGGATCTCCAGTCAGAGGCCCGCTGGTTCCTTTAGAAGAAAATGAACTGTTATTTTGCAAGGCCCTGATTCCTTGGGCTGGTCTATAACATGCTGATGTGTTGGCTGGAGGAGTCAAAAACATATTAGGTGAAGACAACTGGTTTTGAGTGCTGGGGTAACCAGGCGTGGCAGCCCATGGTGGAGGAGGGTATGTTGAGGGGTATTGAACATGTTGATTCTGCAATTGCAACTGGGGTCGAGGTTGCATCATTTGTATTGGTTGGGGTTGAGTTTGAGATTGAAATTGAGGTCGGGGTTGGGGCTGGTGCAGGGACTGTACCTGTTGGGGTTCAGGATGCGGATATTGAAGATGTTGATTCTGAAACTGTGATTGCTGGGGTTGGAGAGAGGGCTGAGGCTGCAATTGTTGGGGTTCATGTTGTGGATGTAGTTGCTGAGGTGAGGATTGAGGTCTATAAATATGTTGCTGGGACTGGGGTTGAGGTTGAGAGTCTGATTTAGATTCAGGTTGAGCCCAAGGAACAACATAATTGCTAAAAGGCACATTTCCAGAATACTGGGGAGCATAGGGATAGCCTTGCGTGCTAGATGGAACAGATGTATCAGTTTGCTGGCTGGAGGCTGACAGAGGAGGAGGTATCTGGGGAGATGACGCTGATGACGAGGTAGACAAAGTGATACTCAGCAAGTCAATAATGTCCTGCTCTTTAGAAGTGCTAGCTGGTGCAGCCTGATCTACAATCGCCAATGCACTGACTGGGACAGAGGCTGCAGGATCTGATGTTGAGCTGTTGGTTTCAACGGTTGCCAAAACATCAGTTGATCCATTTGTAGCATCTTTAGAAGGCACTGGCTGTGCCTTGGAATGCCTGCATTGGTTGTCAAAACTCAAAAGTTAATTATGAATCAATTAGATGTATGATAGAACAATTCCACTTGGCAATTGGCATGCACCAGAATAGATGTTGCATCTACAATCTTTTTCTAGACAAGAGCCTCGAATAACATTTTTTACGTATTTCTCTTGACGAAAGCAAATCACAAGCTCATAACAGAGACATTCTAACTGAGTTGAACGGTAACGAATGCAGCAGAGTGAGTGCATAGGAAAAACAATGCCTTGAGCAAGGCTTCATACTTCACCTGAATGAAAACCATGAGTAAGTTTTAACTTGTTCATGCCAAACAATGCATCTAACACATTCTTTTCCTATAATTAACTTGAGTGCATGCAGAAGGTTGTCTAATCTAAGCCAGTCATTTACTTGGACAAGAAATAGATTCCTAGTTTCACATCCAAAAACTCAGAAATTCATTAAAATGTTGTTAGGTATGAGCAACCTTCGAGCTAGCTGTGCAAATTCATCCTCTTCTTCCTCCTCCTGATCAATCTGGCCTTTTTTTACGGAAGGAACTGGGATAGAAGAGTTGGGTTTAAATGTTGGATCAGAGCCTCTAGAGATGGAGCTCCTCTCTTCTGTTGGATTGAAACTGGAAAAGCTAGCTCCAGTTGACTGAGCACTAGAACTAGCATATTGAGATGGAAGGGGGGCACCAGAAGCTATTGCATCGTGCTTTGCAAGCAAACTTTGAATACTATCATTTAATTCAAGGCCTCGCCCAAGAAGCTCCTCATCCCTGTCACATAACCAAGATAATAAGAATTATCCAAATTTTAACCTTGGATGAACGAAATTAATAAATTAATAAAAAATGCAAAAGCATATTTCAGAAAATACCACATCATGATATACAAGAATAAAGATCATGCCAAGTAATATGAAAATAAATTGGAGAACAATTTAATCGTGTAGACATGCATGCATGAAACATACAAGGCATTGCCAAAGTCTAAGGACGTAACTAACCCAGTGGTTGTTAACATCTGCATCAATTTTCTCTGGTTGGTACGGCAACGGTCAACGAGGTCAACAATCACCTCATCTTTTACAGCCTACAAGCAAAAGAAGAGCAGTTAATCATTTTATTTTGTCTCAAATAACAAGGCTAGACAATTGTTCAACATACTGCTCGATCATTAGGGTTCACAGCCTGTAGCATGTCGCTCAAAAGCTCCATAACATGCCGCATAGAATCCAAGCTTGACAAACTACACATTTAACGATAAAAAATTAATAAGCTTAAAGACAGTTGGCAGGAAGATTTCAAGCCTCAGCGCATAATCTTAGAAGACAAAATATAATAGCATAAGCAAGGGTGATGATGCAAAAGTGAAATTTCACCTTAAACTTTCAATCTCTGTCGCCATTGTTTCATCAAGTCTCTTTGAAGAATTGCTTGGCATACCATATCCAGCTTGCAAGTGTCTTAAAGCAAGATGGGTAGGAGGAGGAGTAAATATCGGAGCTGCATCTGGAGAACGCTTGGGAAAGACTACACCAGATCTCTGCCATTCATATAATGCAATATAATGATATGATCTACTGGTCATTAAGAAATTAAAACTACATGGGACATTAGTTAAAGTTATGATAGGTTCTACTGTTGTAGTGGATAACACTGACTGATCGTGAACATGTTTTTTTTTTTTTTTCACTCCACTGTTTTGACCTTTCTTGGGTTTCTCTAGAAACGAAAACAAGAGGATCAAGCATTCATTTATCTTTTGCTGTTTGTGAACAGACAAGTTTGTAGAATACAGGTGCTGTTAGCATATAAAAGTTATTAGCAAAAAATGACTAAATTTTACCATAAATTTGTAAATGCTGCACTAGGATGAGGCAGGCAAAAAATGATTCGTCAAAATAATCACAAATGAATTGTCAAAATAGTGGAACAAGACTAAAATGACAAAAACCATGTCCCAGAGCTTAGAGATGTGAGCCAACTAATTTAAATGAAGATTAAAATCTGTGAAAGGGGGTCTTAATCTAGTTTAAATGATCCAATTACCGGACGTTATGATGATTATAATATGAAGGGAGAGGCAAATCATTTAACATAACATTATCCAGCCCAATCCAAACTAATATCAATGTTTTAATCTGGCATCCCACTCTGGACAGACAGTTAACAACTTCAGACACAGCTAAAGCACCACTGAGAAATTTTGTTGAGTCATCAGCCTTATACTAACCTTTAATTCCTCATATGCCCAATAATAGTGAGGATGCTTTCCACTTGGCCCACCAAATGCCTCTTGCCATGAGTCTAGCAGCACTAAAATTTTATCCCTCACTTGCATGTCTGCCTGAAATATCACCACATATATTTCAAGTTAGAGGGGATAAGTTAAGAAGGAAAGCTGAGAAGACAATGTTAGTCGCCTCAAAACAGTGATTAAACCACAATATTGCACAAACAAAAGGCATCAACTCTAAGATTCTGTCGTGACTTGTCATGGTAAATAAAACCAATATATTGTGATTGAATAAGTATTTTTTGTAATATTAAATCCCAAGGGAATCAACACACAGATTTTAATTTGATATGTAATTGGATCCCACTAAAATATATTTAGCATGAAATGACCTATTGATCAACTAAACTATCATTGGGAAGAGATGTCATCCGACCCTAAGATGCTTGGCAATTAAAAACAGGTATCTTGATGAAAAATTGTCATCTGCTCCAAGCGACAGTTGGGGAACCACTATAGAGACCAAGGATTACATACAGTAAAAATGAATATAAAATAATACCAGCTCCTGCTATTGAACTTTCATTTATTATTCCAGAATCATTTATAAATCAATTACTAGATTTTAGGCAACAAAAAGGGACAAAACGCACAGGACTTATGTAGAGGAACGTATAGTGATGAAAGAGAAAATTTAACAGCAGTGCCAAAGCACAGGTGAAATTCATGAGATCACATATTAAACTACCTTAAAATGGGTCACTTGCACAGCTAAAAGAAAAAATCAACCTAGCAAGCCGAAACAGGGGTTCTCCCTCTATAAATATTATAGATGTCAGTAACTTAAGTAACATAGATTTTAACTTGATTTGACATTCACAAGGAAAATCCTCAAAAACGCAGTAACAATTTGATGCAAGAATTAAATACACAGATCTTATCTCCATGTTCCACCTGAAACCACCTTACCTTCTTCCTCACAATTTTGATCATCTCATCCAGTATATTCCTCTCAGCAATTTGAAAATGGATATACTCACCACAGTTCTTCACCATTGTCTCCAGCAGCTAGAAAGTAGACGTGCAGAAATTGTAAATCAAAATCCGTACAATCAGATATGGATTTAAGCATTAATGGGCGCATCGTTATACACACAAATGCATATAAATGTGAAAAGCAAATTCGGTGCAAAAAGACCACCGTCAGAGAGAGTAATTGAACTTTGGAGCTCTTATGCTGTAATCTCTTCTTCACGGCTTTGACCACATCTTTTGGCTGCCTGAGAAAAATGATTGTACTTGTCAAAACCAGACAGAATGTTTACTATTATTTTCCCAAATACTATATATCAGAGACAAAGAGACAAATCCATTAACAGTACGAAAAACTAATGGTCCTAGAATTTTGCAGCCAACTCAATTATACGATGAAAAAGTTCAGGAAAGTTATAAACATGTAATTACTGACAGAATAATAACTGGTTTGTACTATATTCCAGCTCATATATTTGCTTATCCAACAAAAGGGAACGCTTTTTTCCATCCTAAGCAAACCGGAAACTATTATTTAGTCGCTGTTAAGTCGCTGTTATTCACAAATTTTATCTCATAAAAAGCTGTTACGAAAACTATGCGTGCAACATAACATAAAATCATCTGCATGAAATATCATCATAAAAACAAGGAAATTATCCGAATAGCGAAACTTCTGAATTCCAAAAATGAAGAAGCATAAATATTGTCAGTTGATCAAAGTCAACCCAACAAAGAAAGAAATAGAAAGTCTCAATTCTTCGGTTCCTTAAAAAATTACCAGCGATTGGAATTGACAGAATCACATATTTCGATATTCATGGTCCAATCAGGGCCCATGAGAAGATCGCTGGTCGCCTTCTCCACTGCTACAGTAGCTGAAGAAGAAGACATGCTTCCCTGCTTCTCTCTATCTCTCCCTGTTTCCGAAGCTCCAAGGGAAGGGAAATAGATGCTTTAAAAAACAAAGAAAACCCCAAAGCTTTTTCTCCCCGTAAAATACAGCTCCGAAGTTGTTTGGAGGAGTGGAAAATTCTGAAACCCTAGCTAAGAAAGCTTGAAGTGCCTTTTTCTTGCAGCAAAATAATCAGAATTTGTGGCTTGTTGCTTTGGAAGAATATAGTTTTTCCCTCAGCTAAAAGAAAATCATACAACCTTTTCTATCTTCCATTCCTCTTTTTTCCCGGAAATTTCGTAATTTTCCTCTATCTTTACTGTTTTGCATCGAAAAAGCAAGAAACGTTCCGATTCTAGGGTGCCTTTCTCTGGTCTCCGACGCATGCGCACTCGCTCTTCTAAGTCTCTCTTGCCACGCGCCACGTGCCCAGTTCAGTGCAAGTCATGTCTCGGTGATGGTCGTGCTTTTATAAATCGTATTTCTGAGTTAAAAATCTATATTTATATTATAGTATCAAATTCATTTTACATGTTCTTGGAAAAAATATTTTATATATCATCAAAAATTATTTTTTAAAATTTCAATTTAATCACATCTAATCTAATCCTTTAATAAAAGTAGCTTGCTACTAAAGGTGTTTATTTGACATTTATTTTCATAGTATTATAAAAAAAGTATTTATTTGAAAAATTGAGATCTAGGGTTGGGGATTTTGAAAATTAGATATTTTTATATAAAATGACTTATATGCTCAACCCATTCAAACCTTGGTAAAATGAGCTTAGACTCAGGCTATTTATTTAAACCTGTATTTTGTTTTATATAAAAAATGGGATATTTTTACTTTTAAATTAAATTTAAATTTTAAAATATGTGTTCATAATTTATATCTTATGATTAGAATTCATATTACTTGATTTTAATTTTTGAATATTTTAATTTTTGTTTTAGAAAATGAACATTTTATATCATAATGTAAAAATTAAATTTTTAAAAATAAAAAATGAAAATGAATAAAAACGAGCTTGGAAACTCAATCCTAAGTCTGATGAATTAAGGTTGAGTTTGAAGAAATGGTTGATTTTAATATAACAAGGTTTTTGAGCCTGAATCCATATGGCTCAAGCTCCTAAAAGCTCATATAGATTAGGATTGCTTGTTTATTGGCTCTATTTATTTGACATGATGAATGAATTATGATTTTTCAAAGTTTATATGATCATATCAAGTTGGATTAAATGAAGGTAAAAATTGATTAAGCATGAAAAATTAACAGATACTTTAGTTTTATCATCACCAAGAAAAATCCAAGTTCAAATTTAGTATAAAAAATGTTTTTGAAAGAATTATTTTCATTTAGATTCGATAATGCTCTTGTGGAGTTAGATATAGTTGTTTCACAGTTTTATACTTACAATGAGGACATTCTCATTCCTGCCAAGTATATTTTTTTTCAGAACTAATTATTTATAATTAATCAAAATCAATAGTGAATTGTGGTTCTAAAACCATTTTTAAAGATAATTGTACTCATCAGCTTGACTTTCGGATCCTTATACTTTTAAAAAGATATACAAAAGGTTACTAAAAAATCAGCTGGACAAGAAACAGAGACACGCCAGCTTTAAAGATTGGTTAATTAGCAATGAAAAGTTCGAAACTTCCGTGATGGAAAACTGCAATTCTTTTTCAAATGAAATTTCATAAAAAAGCTCTTAAAAAATAATAGAACTATATATTCTTCAATATACTCTCTTCTCATTAGTTAAAATTTAGTTTCAAAATTCAAAACACCTACTATCCGAATATTATTTTGAACTCTAATTAATCTGCATTGAGTATTTGAATCAAATTAAACAATAAGGATGATAAAACTTTCCCCCAATATATTGTCAACGCAACTCTCTAGTATCTACCATCTCATTAATTTTCAGGTGTTTGTAATACATATTAGTCATAAGTTGTTGGATCATAGGTAAAGGTACGTTGAGTTTTAATTTGCTTCCGCTTAGAAATTAGAATTCTATAAAATCAATAATAAAGAACACAAGGTCCATGTTGATGATAATTTATTGGGTACATATTTGTGGTGTTTTACATTGATTGATCAGATTTGTCAATGGGAAAAACTTGATGAGTTTGTTTCGAGTCTGACTTTGTTATTTTTAATAAAAGAACATGGGTGCATAATGCAAAAGTTAGTTGAAGAATTTGATTGATCTCACACATGTAAGACCTCAATCTCTTTTGTTTTCCACATTTATTGCAGAAAAAATTAATCATTTGGTCTACATAATTTTAACTTAATTATAATTCAATTTTTAAATTTTAATTTAATATAATATAATGTAATATAGTCATTAGTTAAAACTCAATTCTTAAATTTTAATTCGGTGCAACTTGATCGTATAATTTTTGCAATTTAAAACATCAGTTCTTAAGTTGCAAAAAATATTTTTAGTCATTATAATTTTACTTTTCAAATTATAGAAACTAATGTTTTTAAATGATTAAAACCACACGTATTGAGTTGCACCAATTTAAAATTTAGAAATTAATTTTTTTTCAATCAAAGTTCAAGGATTAAATTTTAACTAGACCAAAACTATAGAAACTAAATTATTTATTGTTCTCTTATTTTTTTCCTTCAAATTATCCCTATTGATTGTACGTGTTTTTCCTAAAATTAAATTTCCAGTGTAAACGATTAAAATGAGTGATATGTTAAAAAAAAAATCAACACATAATAATGATAAATGACTAACTTAACTACTTTTCTTGTTTTTGTTTAATTGGTTGATTAACTGCTATATTTAAAATTGGAGGGAGTACTTGCCCCAAAAAAAAATTAAGGGAGAACTAATACACTCTTGGATGAGTCTAAAGACCACATTCATAGTTTGAAGCTCTACGTATGATAAAATTCATTAGTGATTAGTCTAAACAAAAATACTAGTCATTAATTGGCAACATCAAATTAATGCACAAAACACACGCGCGTTAACACAAAAGTTTAATGGCCATATTGAAGTTGGACGAAAATTCAACAGTCTCACAAAGGAAGTCACTCTTGAACTCCCCTTCTTTCAAAAGTGTCCTAACCTACATAAATTGAAAGGAAATTAAGGGGTTGTGGGGTGGTGAAATCATACCATAATCTTAATTAGTAGCAAGTAGCTAGGGAAACACAATAGAAGGGAGGAGTAATAAATGAGGCATGCAAATGAATGGCTATCAAGTTTCAATTATATCATCAATTCATCCACATCAACATACAATACACAAGTCAAATGGTATATACTTTTTAATCCTATTTATAAATCACTTTCAATATATTTCATCAAAATTAAGGAATACCTTAAATTTTATTAATTATAAATTAAAATTTAATAAGTTTTTGCCTCAACCCAGCTTAATAAGAACAAAAAAATTATTTTTAATATTTTTTTCAATATTTAATAAGGGTAAAAAGGTAAAAATAAATATAAAAAAAAGTGAAGTGCCTTATAAATAGAATTAAAAGTAATCTTCTCTCTTTATCTAGGACCAGGTAAGAATATTCACGGGCATATCCAATGGTACCAACTGAACCATTATACACAAGGCGCTAAATCCATCACACAAAACAAGTCTACTAGGCACCAAGTCAGAAAAAAACCTAATAGCTAGCTAGCATATGAAAAAGAAATAAACATGCTATTCATATGCTATTGGGCTTCAATGCATACAGTGGTCATCAGCATGCAAGTTAGAGGTACAACCATCTTATATAGCAAAGCTAAAGTGTATCTCCAATACATCCCAATTACCTTTGCATGCGAACTATGATTGTCAAAAACAATAAGAAGGACCAAACAAAGCCTACAAAACCACTTCATACTTCCTGCCACTCGCTTCACGGTCTCAACGAGCCAAGTAACGTACGATATCTCAAAGCTTCGATTAAACTATCCACAACAATTATTCAAGCTAACATAAGCTTATATCGTAATGTTTCGCACTAATTAAATTTCACTCACTTGTTATAGCTAAGCTTCCACTAAACAGCCATAGTTTCTTCGAGAATATTTTTTGGATAGAGGACGGCCATATATAACTAATGAGGGAAGAGCATTGTGTTTAAAAAAAAAAAAAGTATTATACAGCAAATGGTATGAGCGCCAGCTTTGTGTTGTCTATTTATGATGATGGAACCTCGCTAGCGAGTAATTGAAATGAAACGGACCAAACTTCGGTCAACAATTTCAGGTATTTCTTCGCATTTTTGAATGGCCATAATTCAGTCGGCGCCACAGGCGAACAAAGAAATTATTATATATATATATATATATATATATAATAAAATAGACATTATTGTTGATTAAGTTTTGTTTATTCAACCAATTGATGTTAGTGGTCAAGACTTTTGTCATTTAAATAAGTAGTGAAAAGTTCACATTTAGTAACTTAATTGGAAAAGGTATGCTCTTTGCCCTTAGCAATTTTTCAAGGGAGATAACATTTGCGGATAGCAGAGCCTACCCTTCTTCAAAAAAAAAAAAAAGGTTATTCAGTGCTTACTTATGTATAGCTTTTTTTATAACAATTTATATACTCCTCCATTCAAAAATATAAGATATTTTTTGAAGAGTTAGATATTCAAAAATGTAAGGTATTTTTTATATTTTAAAGTGTAATCGTTATCTTTTTTTTAAAATGTTCCTATTGATAATAACTTTATATTTATTGTAGGGTATTTAATAGGAGTAAATATGAAAAGATAGAGTTAGTTAGAAAGTAGATAACTACTTTATTGAAGGGTAAAATTTAATTAAAAATGTCTTATATTTTTAAACGAAGGGAATATGTCTTTTTAGATTTAATAACCTCAAGCAATTATTTATTGAAAAAATGACAGATAAATTCCTTTGGAATAGAGAAATGGCAATTTGATCTCATGAAATGTAATAATAATAGTGAGATTTCAAAAGATTTTTTTAAAATTAAATTTCTATATGAAATTACTACCCTTTTTTGATTTAGGAAGTTGTGATTTTGTAAATTATTTTAATTATTGGTCGAAGCAAACTTATTAATATTGATACCAAACTTGTAAATCATATAAAATTAGTTGAATTTTGTTGATTAAAAAAATTATTAATTATAATTTTTTAAATCATTTTAATCATTAATGGAATCAAACTTGTGGATACTCATACCAAACTTATGAACTATATAAAATTAGTTACAGAAAAATGTTAAAATAATTTCATATAAAAATTTAATTTAAAATAATTTTTTTAAAATCTTACTATCATTATCACATTTTAAAAAATAAATTATTATTTTTTGTTTTAGAAAAATTTATCCATCATTTTTATTATATATTTTTATCTTGGAGTAATCTCGGCCAATTTT